CACAGTCCAGTGTAACTCCTGGGTATTTGGGTGTGCTGCAGTGCTCTAGTGGGATTCCTTCCCAGGTAATCTTCCGAGTTCAAATACACAAGTGAAATGCCTAAAGGAGTTCATGGCTGGTACCTGCAACCTCCCTATAATTTGCTCAGTCAAGAGTTGTTACCAACCACCACTGTAAAGTATCTGCTGCCTGAAGCAACTGTTTCATTCGACCAAAAGTAGGGCCAGTCTTTGTGAGTCACCCTCCTTAAATAGCTGTGAGCCAGGGCATGTGGGTGAAGATGACATTATTAAAAGTTCAATCAATCACAGCACGCATTCCTCAGCATTCCTGAGAAATCATGCCACCTCTGATTCCAAAGTCATCATCTTCTCTGCCCGTATGACAATATTATTCCAAATGTAATACAAGTTAATCTTGCTTCAACGGAGGGTTCAAGCAGTTGACCACAAACAGTCCTTCTCTCATGCTTAGGATTCTAAAAATGCTGGGGTGGACAATGGGAATTTAATGTCAGCCCAGTTTGCCTTGGGTGGGTTGACACAAAGGAAATGACCTGGAAGTACGATGGCTGAAGGAATTGATTGCAATTAAATGATTTCAACATTTGGGATTTACATGATAAGTCTGGCAGCTCTTCCCCTTCAAGCCATATGTGGACACTTAGAGCGCACTGGCAACAACAGACTGGCCCTGGAAATAAGGTCACTTCATTGACTCACCCCGGGGTTTGAAAGCAAAAGTCACAGCTAACATGCAAGACCATCAATATTTTCGGCCTGTAGGCAGGAAATTGGAGGCAACCAACCCACACACGCATACTGAAATATGGATATGTGCATTTATGTATATTTATGTACATTTTAGACATAGGGAACACCGGAGGGATGCTTTTGAGTTTAGCTGGAAGCACGGTGTGCTTTCGAAGGAAACTGATTTGCTTTCAGTTAACATATCTGATACACACTACACATAATTATTTTGATATGAGCTATAGATATATCCTTCCTTGTAACCTTATTAAGTATCTATGTATGCATATTTGTATCTGGCTATCTGTATGCTATCCTCTATCTAGACATCTCAAGGCAGGATATAATAAAACAGTCTAAAATTGCTTCAAAAGGTTATAAACATAATAATAATAATAATAATAATAATAATAATAATAATAATAATAATAATGATGATGATAACACCAACAACAACAACAATCCAGACTGACAAAGTTTGGGAACACAATATGCCAGACATCATGATTGTGGAAAAGAAAAAAAGTTTGGATTATTGATGTCACCATACCACATGACAGTCGCATTGAGGAAAACCAACAGGAAAAACTCAGCCATTATCAGGACCTCAAAATAATAATAATAATAATAATAATAATAATAATAATAATAATAATAAACCTTTATTTATACCCCGCTACCATGTCCCGACTCGGTGCGGCTTACAAGAGGCCGAGCCCAAAATATATCAAAACAAAAAACATAACCATAAAAATATAATACATCAATAAATAACTCATAGCAAAGCAAAAACAATAACAAAATATCACGACGCAATTTAAAAACATGTCAGGGCCAAATGTAAAGATTAAAATCTTTAAAAAATACTGGGCATGACCAGGTGAAAAAGGATGGATATTTTGGGGGTTAAGTGGGTGTGCAGACACTTCTAACTCTCTCGTAAAGTTCATTTGGGACATATTGCTTGGGATTCCTTAATCTGGGAAGGCACAGACTGGGAAGGCACAGAATTGCAAAGACTCTGGCATAAACCTGTACAGGTGGTCCCAGTGGTCATTGGCACACTGGGTGCCGTGCCAAAAGATCTCAGCAGGCATTTGGAAACAATAAACATTGACAAAATCACGATCTGTCAACTCCAAAAGGCCATCTTACTTGGATCTGCACACATCATTCGAAAATACATTACACAGTTCTAGACACTTGGGAAGTGTTCGACTTGTGGTTTTGTGATATGAAATTTATTTATGAAAAAATATATGATATATTCCACCCTTCTCACCCCGAAGGGGACTCAGGGCAGAGCACAGCATATACATGGCAAACATTCAATGAAATCCAGCATATAGATCTCGTTTGCAGTGACATACTGTGTTTTTGTGTCAGTAAAATAGTAACAAAAACAATAACAACAACAAGTGTATTTTTATACCCAGCCATCATCTCCCCAAAGGGACTCGGGAAGACTTACGTATGGGACCTAGCCTGGAGACAACAACAACATTTGCCAACTAAAGCATCATTAAAAACATAATAACATATTACAATCCAATTAAACAATTAAAAAACAGCAACATGTAAAAACATCATTAAAACATATTAATCAATTTCACAAGCCATAAAGACAGATTAAAATCACTTTCAATTATTTAAAACAATTTAAATTTACATAGTGCAAAGGTTTGTCTGAAATCAATTAGGCTCCAAAAACATAGTAAACAGCCATGCTTTCAATTGACGCCTGAATGACAACAACGCTGGTGCCAATCAGGCCTCCAAGGGAAGAGTCTTCTATTACTGAGATGTCACAACAGAGAAGGCGCCTTCTGCAACTTCCCGCAATGTAGAGGAAGGCCCTCCTGCAAATCTTAAAACTTGGGCAAGGATATGAAGGATATAGTTGTGAAATGTATTGTCTCTCCAGCGTAGAAAGAAGAAAAATATCATGAACAAGTCCTCCCGGTAATTACACTAACTGTTTTGATTCCTCTCACCTTTGTATCAGTCACTCACTTATAAAATAGCCTACATAGGGTCATATATATGATCCGTTTTCTCACGTCTTCCCTGAATTATGACTCTGAAAATAAGTTATAGAACTCACTAGTAAACTTGTTCAAGCGAAAGCAGAGACTCAACTTGTGCAGAATTTGGAATCCTTTTAAGTCGTTTTAGGTCTCAGTTTTTGGGAAAACCAAAGAATGATAATGATGACAATGATGATGATGTATCCACTACAAACAAGATGACTCAAACATGTGTTAATCCTATCCTAGGGATTTCCTGGTAACACTTACGTTGAGATAAATCTCAAATCAGTCATGGCACTGTAGTTTAAGACGAGACTCGAACTCTGGGAGACCAGGTGGCAAATCTGCCTTAAGTCTGAAAATTCTCTGGGTCACCTGGGACAAATCAAATTCTCTCAGCCTATGAAGAAGGTGATGGCACACATCATCAGAATGCCAAGAAGACCCTATGATAAGGTTGTCATAAATTGAAAGTTCACTGGAAGCCACAGCCAAAAATCATAATAATCGACCCATACAGAACCATATGGAAGACTGAACTATTGATAAGTAATAATAATAATAATGATAAAGCCAGAATTGAAAAGTCGGCGACAGATCCCAAATGTAGACTCTGCAAGGAAGCAGATGAAATAATAGATCACATCCTCAGCTGCTGCAAGAAGATCTCGCAGACAGACTACAAGCAGAGGCATAACACCGTTACCCAGATGATTCATTGGAACCTGTGCCACAAATGCCATCTGTCTGCGACAAAGAACTGGTGGGATAACAAGCCTGAAAAGTTACAGAAAATGAACACGTCAAACTACTCTGGTACCGAATTCAGACTGACAGAGTTTTGGAGCACAATACTCCTGACCTCACAATCGTGTTAAAAAACAAAGTATGGATCATCGATGTTGCAATCCCAGGTGACAGCAGGACTGAAAAGAAACAACTGGAAAGGCTGACACGATATGAGGATTTAAAGACTGAACTGCAAAGACTCTTGCACAAGCCAGTAAAGGTGGTCCCAGTGGTGATCGGCACACTGGGCGCAGTGTCTTAAGACCTTGGCCTGCACTTAAACACAATCGGCGCTGACAAAATTACCATCTGTTAACTGCAGAAAGCCACCTTGCTATGATTGCCGATACATCACACATCCAACGTGTGATCCAATACAACAGCCAGCAGAGTGATCTTGTCTGCTGTGGACTCATCTTGTTGTATTTCAAATAACAACAACAACAACATTATTTTTTTACCCTGCCTCCATCTCCCCAAAGGGACTCGGGGCGGCTTACATGGGGCCAAGCCCAATCAACAGAGTTAAAAACATGGCACATTAAAATACATAACATCAATTCAAATAACATAAAACAACAATTATAACAATGAACCAACAACAACAGCGTAATTCAAGTCTCAATATGGATGGGCAGGCTAGTGTATACAAGTCAGAGGATAGGGCTAATAAATAAAGTGCATAAATAGTATAGCAACAATTAGGAAAAGTATACTTATTTCCTCAACAGCCAGTGGCATTCAATGATACAGGGTATGAAATGAGCTGTCCCTGGCATGCACAAATCTGTGTTTCATCAATGGATTTTAACTTGTATTTTAACTATGTGTACTTTGTGTGTCTTTTAATAGTGTTTTATCTCTTGTTTTAATAATGTTGTATCCCACCTAAATCTGCCGGGTAAGACATTTTTTAAAGGGACAAGGACCTCCCATACCACCAACAGTAATCAACCCTTCTGCTCTGAAGCAATACAGTTGGAATTTTTGAAGCAAACCTGAACATGGCCTTTTAATGCAACTTCCTACAGGATAAATCATCTGGTTGGTTACTGCAGGGAAAAAGGATGCTGATCTTTGATGAAATCCAACCAGGAGATTAATGTTTTTTATATTATGCATTTGGCACTAGTGTGCATGCACACACAATTCTGTATTGTCTAAGTAGTGCTCTGAAAACATGTACAAGTTTGGGTGTCGTGCCATTTACTCACCAGTATGGAATGTTTTAAAACATGCATAAAATATTCTGCAGAGAATAAAGAAGTCTTCTTCTCATTCTACTTATATATTGCCTTGGATAGTTCTACAATATTAGAAGACATCCTGATAAAAAATATTCCCTCCTTTACACCTGCTTCTCCCATGAAGTGCCCACCCTATTCCCAGGTTTATGGTCCCCCAGCCTTATAATTCAACACAACTCACGTGGTAGTTTGTTGACACGCCACGGAACAGAGTTTGTAACAAAGCCACGCTTGGAAGCCGTCACAAGGACCCAGGTGCCCAGGCGATAGCTGATGGGTAGCATGCTAACACCCTCATGGTCAGTGGTGCCTGAAGCCAGGGATGTCTGGTTGCCATATACTTCCACAGCTGCTTGAGGGAGTGGGGACAAGTCGCCATTCTCATAAACCTGGACCTTGATCACCACCTCTGCAGAAGAGAAGAAATAAAAGATGAGAACAATATATGAATTTGACTTTTCCAGTATGATCCTTTATCCATATATTTCTGGTCCTTTTACTCCCTTTTATATCTTGCTTGATTTTCATAAAACCATATTCAACTCAATATTGCATTATCTCAATAAAAGATGCGGTCAGTTAAAAATTGTCACAATGCTTACTTTTTTTTCATCCACCTCTTCTTGTTTGATCTACATCACGGATGTCCAACCTTTTGATTGCCCCAGGCCACATTGGAAGCATTGTCTTGAGCCATACATAAAATATCCTAACACTAACGATAACTGGTGAGGAAAAAAAGTCTGTGCATAATTTTCATGATATTTGTCAACACATATAACCAAAAAGGTCCTCATATAATAATCCTAATTATTTGCCATTTGGAGGGTCTTTCGGAATTGTTGAGCGGGTCTTCTAGCTGAACTGTTTGCAAGCATAATGCAAATTGCAGATACTACTCCAATATTTGGAGACATAACATACTCTGATTATTCCATTCCATTCTGTTGTTGTCTACAAAGTTTGCATTTGAGAACTGCACAACTGAGTTACAAAAAACCTTTATGTTTTAAGTAAGTTAGCGTGGTATTCCTCTCTACTGTATTCTCTCAATATGCAAGTGTCCTGAAATGTTGCAGTTGAATTATTATATGGAGAAAAACAAAATCTGGCTACCAGTATTAAAAAAACCTCTAAAATTACAACAGCAAAACAGCAGAGAGGAAACAACCAGGCACATCTTAACACCTCTCAACAAAAGATTCCCCCAGGCTCAGCCAGGCCTTCAAATGCTAATGAAGGTGGTCAGTTGAAACATTTACACCTAGCTCCAGCAGAGAAGAGCTCTTTGCCCCACCCTAGTCATTCCACAGATATATAAACCCATTTTCCTAACTCCAACAAACCTCACTACCTCTGAGGATGCTTGCCATAGATGCAGGTGGAACGTCAGGAGAAAATGCCTCTAGAACATGGCCATATAGCCCAAAAAAACCCCACAAGAACCTAGTGATTCCAGCCATGAAAGCCTTCGACAATACAAAAAACAACTGAGTTTGTTTATGCAAACACACAAGAAAACAAAAATGTCATAGTTCTCCCTCTTCAAAATAATTTCTCCACAACATTTTGTGATGTTTGAATATTACAAAAAAAAAAAAAAACGAGCAAAATTTCCATTGGCCAGGCAATTATTATTTCAGATAGTGTTTCTCAATTGTTAGAAAACTTTTGTTTTTGAAAAAAATATATCTAGAAATAAATAAATAATAACTAATATTATAACCTGCTATCATCTCCCCGAAAACTAACATGAGGCCGGGTCCAAAGATAATACAGCATATTTACACACGAAACAACAGAAAAACTACATCACGACAAAATGCATAAAATAACAAGATAAAATAAAGAGTGCAGAATAACGTAATAAAAATCAAACACAAAGGGCGGGCCAGATGCATGAGATAAAATGTTAAAACCCTGGGTGAGATAGGAATAGAAAAAGTGTAATTATGAGGGAATGATATTCTTCCCATTTCTATAATCCCACGTCCCACAATATTCTGTTATTTACTTTTGGACGTTCCAGACACTTCCATCCAAAACTCTATTTGCCCCATTTCCAACTTAGTGCGGTTGACATTCCCTTTTTTGTACTGTTAGGAGTGAATATGGTATTTTAGATTATCACAACAGCTCAGACAATGGTTTAGGTATGTGTGGAACCTCATAAGGAAAAAATAATTTTGCATGAAAAATTGGGCATCACAAACCTGGGGAGTATCCACACTGTAGAATGAATGCAGTTTGACACCAATTTAACTGTTATGGCTCAATGTTATTGAATTCTAAGATTTATAGTTTAGTGAGACGTCACCATATTTGGCAGAAAAGGGTATTACAGTTTTACTTGTAAAACGACAACTCCCATGATTCCATAGCATTGAGCCATGGCAGTTACGGTGGTGCCAAACTACATTAACTGTACAGTATAGGTGCACTGTACCTACCAATGGTAACTATCCTTCTATTTCTGATTTAATTCCCTGTCTTGGTCACCCAGCCCCAAATTCCCTTCCCTGAACTGGAAGTGGGAAGGGATCTCTTCTTATTATGCACAAGAATTCAAAAGAGATTAGTAATAATGACTCCACTGATACAGACAAAAATCTAATGTAGTACTTTGCAATTTCCTATTTACACCAAAATAAGATCAGGCCTTCTCAACTCCTGTGTAGCAGCAGAACAAAAATAAGGATGACTACAAATCTAAAGGGACAAGTATGTTGAACAAAAACACGTGAGTCTCCTGATGTCTCCAATGGGGAAAAATCTGCTCTTATGTCATGGAAATTATGAAACTCAACACACAGAAGTTGGAGTTTTTAAAACTCCAACAAGCAAGCATTATCACGAATCATTAAAGCCATCCCTTTATTCCAAAGACTGAAAGATAACTCCAACATAATTCAACACACATTGATGGAAAATGCAGTTTAGACCCAAGAGAATTGGAAGAGAAGAGCAGAGCCAGAAAGAAAGGCTCACAAAAGGAAATTATAGAAGAGATTCCATTGTGTCTTGTCTGACACTCGCTGATTCAGGAATACTACCCCCTTTCATTCGAGCTCCAGCGTTGTCTCATTACATTTCCCACTCCTTTCGTTGTCGCTACTATTCAGTCCACTGCAGGTCAAGTAATGCTGGCTCCCGGCACCTTAATTCATTCCAGCAACATCATGCAAAGATGAGAGTTGATCACACATGGCAAAGATCTTCTCTGCTGGCTGCCTGCCTGACATATCCTTCCACCCTTGCGTGCAAATGGAAATAATATCTTCATAGAGAGGTTGATTCAAGTCCACTTGGCTTTGGAACTCAGCTCCCTGATGACGAAGAAGCTCCAGCTGGAAGGAAGTTACTGCAGTCCCCTCCCTCCATCAAGAGCTGCCTCCAAGATCTGGCATATCTGGACCTAAATCTCAATGTTCATGCTGATTAGAACTATATACGGATTCCCTATTGAACCATAGATTCAATGGATCTATTCTAATTGAGACTAACCCAGTGGTTCTCAACCTGGGGTCCCCAGATGTTTTTGGCCTTCAACTTCCAGAAATCCTAACAGCTGGTAAACTGGCTGGGATTTCTGGGAGTTGTAGGCAAAAAACATCTGGGGACCCCAGGTTGAGAACCAACCAATAGGATTCCAACCCAGGTATAACATTCAAAGAAGAAACTACAAGTCCTTTGCAAGTCAAATTGAACAAAACCAGATAAAGAGAGGGGTGTAGAAGACCGTTCCATCTTGTCTCCTGTGCTATACTAATAATATAATATAATATAATATAATATATTGTATATATATAAAATATTTATAATATTATAATGTAATACAATACAATACTAATAATACAATATTATAATTATATATTTTATATTATTTGTAATATTACTAATAATATTACAATATAATGGTATAGTGCAATATAGTAATATATAATACTGATATTGTACTATGCTAATAATATAATATATTGTATGTAAATACACCTTGTAAGCCGCTCTGAGTCCTCTTTGGGGTAAGAAGGGCGGCATATAAATGTCGTAAATAAATAAATAAACCCAAGAACCACCATAAGAAAGCAGATACTCAAGGCTGACTTTGAGTCAAATACAAGTCGAGTGACAAGTCAAGCAACATATTGGCACCTAGCTATGGCCTGGATGTTAAAACCCAGAGTAAGTTTTAGGCCAAACGGGATGGTGCATAATTAAGATGATGAAGTGAGGCTCCCAAGAAGTTATATAAGTATACTTTGCTCAAGCCCTCCTCAAATTTGCCACTAGCTCTAGATCAAGATGGTCAAAGTACAGTCCACAAAATGCAGATCTCCTAAGTCTCTTTTTGTTGCTCTCAAGGCCCCAAGGGGTCAAAAATGTGAAAAGGTATTTTAAAATTGACCCCAAATACCCTTTAGCTAGGGGCATTTTCACGACCCCCACATTGAGTTAAGGAACCCCATGTGAGGCCCTCATTTTCAGAAGTTGTACTCAAAAGTAGCAGCAAGTTTCAGCTTGAAAAACGAACAGAAGAAATAATCTGGATTATCCAGAGAAAAAATCCGGATGAAACTGAGTTGCTTCCAAAGTCTTGCAAAACAATACAGCAAATAAAGGATGAACAAACAAAGAGCCGTGAAGCAAGAGCCGTAGTCAAAGAAGTCCGAAGTCAAAGAAAGCCCAGTCCAAAGTTGTGAGGTTTCAAAGTCCACGTAGTCAGCGTCGGTGTCAAAAGCAGTCTGAAGTCAAGGAAGAGGAAATCCGCACTCACAGGAATTCAAGCCGAGTTGAAATAAGAATGGTACAGCAACCTGCAGATCCAGGACCCAAGCCCAACACGAAAGCGGCAGCGACAAAATCCAAGGCACGAAACCAACACTTTGCCTTCTGCAAAGTTCTAACACTTTAGTGCCTACCTTTATCTTACACCTCATCATCCGATGATGAGCTGACCTCCACTTTGCTTCTACACTGACACCCATCCCTCTAACTCTTCCACCTCTTGTCAAGACTTAGCTCTCCCCACGATTCCACAGTATCTCCCGATTGCCAATCCCCACTACCAGAAAACCCCGCAAACGTGTCACTATACATTGGCTGAGTACATACATCTCAAACCTCCTGTACCTTAGTCCAATCCAGTGAATCATCCCCATCCCCATCACTCCCAGACCCATCACTCCCACAGAAACCCATGAAATCCTCCTCTTCCGTACGAGCAGTAAGTATGTCCCAAATCATCTTCCTCTGATGCTCCTCATCCAATTACTGCTCCCGCGTAACCCTCTTAGTTCCCCTATTCACATCTGCTGAATCTCCTTCCTCCTCCTCACTCCCAGAAAACCCTTTGAATTAATCTTTGTCAGTGGGTGACATAAGTATCTCCCGGATCCTTTTCCTCTGTTG